GATCAACATATTCATTTCTTCTAGCTAAGATATCCTTTTAATTCTATCCTGATTTGCACAAATAGTGTTTTAATCTAATGATAGAAATATTTCTCTTATTAAACGTACTACTATTACACCATCTACGGTTCATTAATATCCAATATATCTCTAGAACTCCAGGCAATTATTTCGGTCGTTTGACACTTAGTCATAAGTGTTTCATTATCAATTTTGCTCTCCTTATAAATTTAGCATCATTGCTCAGCTTTGATATATTTGTGGTGGTTATTTAAGTTGTTTGAAGAGGTATATCAAATCTAAAGTGGGTGGTCTTACAATAAAATTGTTGTTGGTACATCATTGCTATTATTGCTAACAATGGCATGCCTTTTGATATGATATTTGCAAGTAATGTATGACATAAAAATATTATTTCGATTCCGCCGGAGGCATTTAGAAAGAATAATCCCGCTATAGCAGAGTCGACTCTTTATAATATAATTTTGAAAGCTTGTTCTTTTCTAGGATTTAGATTTGATTGTGCTTCTTCAGACACTTGTATAGCATTTTGATTCTTAATAATATATTAATATTTTTACTTTGTGTTCTAATGCTCTTTTTATGGAATAAATTTATGCACCAAAAGATTTCTTTAACTTGAATAAGAATGTTGCCCATATAATGAATTTAAAAAATAATTGAATTGGATTCTCTTGCTAAATAAAATTATCAGATTTTATTACTTGGTTTTAAAATAAAAAATAATTTATTCTATGGTGATTCAGATCTTAATATTAGTTCATCTCTTATTTTGAATATTTAATCTTAATTATAATTTTATCCACCATAAATTTTATTTTCAAAGAGTAAAATATTGATATGACATTTCACTTTTAGATCTTTAGTCTGTAGAATCATTAGTGGTATTGACTCTTACGAACCATTTTTTTCTCTTTCTCACAAATTTATAATCTTAAAAAATTTCTTACTTGTTGTTTAATAATTGGGTATTTTTTAATAATACAGGAAAAATTAATTAAAAAATATATTATTTGAGTAGAAAAATAGTTCAAATATAATATAAAAATATATTATCGTGGGGGTCTTATTTTTCCTCAATTTCAACTCTTTATGCGGTCCATTTAATAATTCTTTTTGGTATTGGACATTATGGAGTGATAATGTATTACCAATACGAAGAATTCTGATGAATTGATTTTATTAAATCTTCATACATATTCTTAGTAAGTATTTAATAAACCAAATTTTATTAATTTTAAATTATTAAATATTAAAAATTAGCACAGAAGATATTGTAGTCCAAAAAATAAGTTATTGCAGTTATGTCATTTCCCAATGAGTTCTTCCGTTTAAAATTTTAGGGCTACTTTAGTATATTAATATTGTATTTATGCTTTTATAATGATATGTGCTCTCTTTTTTCTGAACGGACTTGGACAATATAATACATTTTCAAATTAAATTAATAATAGGACATTATAATAATTTTCAAATTAAAATAGTAATAGAAATTTTTAAGAAGTATATCCTAAAGGTAATAGGATTACATGACTAAAGATATTTACTTGTTCAATTTTATATGAATTTGACAGCCCAAAAGTAATTATACTAATAGGATTCCGAACGTGTAGTATTATGTCCTAAAACTAATAGGATTATAAGGCTAATATCTAGAATTATGTCCTTTTATTATGAGTTATTATACTTAATATTATAAGGTTATTTTTGTAAACCAACAAGTTAGGTTAGTTATCATTAGGACATGACATTAGCTTGGAGTCACGATGTAATTTGTAAGAATTTTTTATTTACTTACTATTTCCAAAATACATGAAAATAGAAAATAAGTAAGGATAGATTAATCTTGGTATGTGTATTGTGTATGTACCCCATCAAAAACTATTCAATGTTGAAAACTCACGTAAATTTTTCATTAAACAACATATTTGATTTTTGACATGAAAAGTAAACAAAATTTTCTGTAAATGTTAAAATAATTAAAGATAGAAAAAATCATGAAGATCAAACAACAAATAAAATAAAATAATTTAAGACTAATTTTAATTAAAATCGACATAAAATGCAACTACAACTTTTGAAGGAACTGTATTTTGTTCAAATTAAAAAAAATTCCTTCAATTTTGTAATATAAATAAAGAAGGTAAAATATACACTATTATTCGTTCTTAAAACGTTGAGTCAAAGTGGACTCTTGAATTTATAATTTTTGGATTTTTTTAACTCCAAATTTTTTCAAAGCCTTTCCATACGAATTTAGACCATTCTCTCTTTATTCTTCTAATACAAGGTTAAATTTAATATTTTTATTTATGAATCTTACCTAGTTCAATAAGGAAAGATTTAATAACCAAAATTTAGTTAATTTTAAAGTCCTAAATATTAGCGTGTAGTGTTATGTCCTAAATCTAATAGGATTATAAAGCTAATATCTAGAATTTCGGTTTTGTCCTTTTATTATGAGTTATTATACTTAATATTATAAGGTTATTTTGGTAAACCGACATTGTATTCATGCTTTTATAATATACTAGTTTCTCCTCACGTGCGATTGCACGTGTATGTTAAGTCATGTAATATACATTTATGTAAAATAATATCAATTTTATTAAAGTGAAGTTTCTGAATAAATAATTATACATGAAATAATAAAGCTTAAGTGACTGACTAATAAGGATCATTATAGTCAGTTAATCTTACGAAGATAAACAAGCAAAGTACAATTAAATACACATGAACTAAGATAAGCATCACAATTAGACAGCGATTGTATATTACTCCCATTAACGCATTCATAGACAGATGGCTCTACATATATAATTAGTGTAAATGTTGTAAGAAATATTTCCCAAAAAATGAAGTTCCTAATTGAACTTATAAGACTATGGTAATAAATAGTTATGTACTTAAGCTACGTCTACACCTCATATAAATTGGATCGTATTATCATTTGCTTCTAAATGACATAAACGGGCTCAAGAACATAAACTCTAGGAAAAATATTCCCTCAAGACATCAACAACAGTAGCATATTCATGGCTATGCGTTCTAATTTCTTTTCACTTCTTTAATTACCATTATCTTCTCCTTAATGCTTTTTCTTCTCATCGTTTATTAATTAGTTCTCTTCTTCTCCGTTTTAGAGAAATAGGAAGCCTTCTCAACTATTTAATTGGTTCTTTTACCCCTTGGCAGCAAGTAGTAATAATGATCCTCAACATGTTCACAAATTTAAGAATTCTTCCAAAAAATTTCGTCTTTCTCATGTAGTTAAATGAAATAGGAGAAAATCTTTCCTGATTTTCTCCCATTAAACTATGGCTGATTTCTTCTTCCTCTTCTTCAATGTGAAATATTTCTTTCAATAATGTGCAATTTGTCACGTAAGAATCATCTTTCTACCACATTAAACAAAATGTTAACCTCAAGTCCTCCTTCCCCATGAACACAAAAATAAACTTAGTTTTCTTGATTCAGAATTACCAAGGCAACTACTTAAACCTGTAATGAAAAAAGGAATACGATAATTTCTTTAAAAATCTAGAGAGATTAATATGTGTGAAGGTTAATAGATGAATTGCAAAAATATATTCAGCAATATGTATATATACGAAAAGAAGTTCATCTGAAGAAGTAAACAAAAAAAAACTCAGTTGGATACTTGAAAATAGAATAAGTCATACATGGCAAATGACACGAACAAAGTTTAGGAATATGAAATAAAAAAGAGTTTATGTATGCCGTTGCCAAAGACAAATAATAAAGCTTAATGACTTGAGAATAAAAGAATCAGTCTATATATGAAAATAAATATGGTTCTAAAGTACTTTAAAATATGATTAGCATTATAAAGTTAGAACCACAAAAACTACTCAATTGAGATGCTTTACAAAGTGGTGTGTATCTAATTGTACAAAACTGAAGAGTCCAAGTTTTTGATATTTTAAGTTTGAACTCATCTCTATTGGCAATGCATAACACTAAAATCAACTATATATCTTCTCCTAAAATAACTTTAAATTGCAAACCCTTCAAACGATATGGGTATTATATGGGGTTTAACATCGAAATAAACTATCTGATTCTCTTGCACTGCTCAGGTGCTATATGTCAGTTTTATTTGGCTAATTCCTTAATGGTGGAGAATCACAACTTATATTCACATCAATTGGCTAAAAGTATCAAACAGACTTTATTATGCAGCTATGGTGTGTATTTCTTAAAAATGCAATAATAGTTATTTTAGTTTATCAAAGAATATGTAGTCCCCAGTTTATTATTTGAATAGATAGATGGATGTAATTAGTAGCAGGGTTCAAGTGTCCAGTTATCAAATACAGTATTATCCCAAGTCTCAGAATACGAACCCATTCAATAACATAAATCTCTTCAACCACTAAATTAAATAAAGTAATTGCTAACACTTCATTCAAATATTCAATACATAATTTTCGAGGAGCTATCTTAAGAAATTTAGATATCGAGAATCGATTCTACGTAAAAAATACCAGAAAACATATGTATCATCCTATCCATCATAGAATTGTCCAGCCAATAAGTTTGGTGAAACATAAGAGGCCAAAGCAACGTTAGAAGCTGGGGCTCATCAACAGACTGTGAAGATTTGTGTTTATTTATAGTTTGAAGGTTTGTGACCGTTAACGATTGTGTCTGAAGCGTTGTGTTGGTTTGTAGGCGTCAGATTTTTGTTTATAAGGTAATTAGGTTTTAATAAGTCAATAGGGTATTTAAGTAAATAACAGGGATAATATAGTAATTTAACTTTTAAGTTAAAGATCAAATTATAAAATTACCCTTATTTCTTATTATGTATACGAAATTACCCTTCATTTATTTATATTTTTAAAACAAAAAAACAAAAAACCCTACACGTGCCTCTCATCTCTCTGGGGACAGACGCCTAATCATCTTCTCCAATCGGTTCATTTTGTTCTCTTTAAAAGTCAGAATACCATGACAACTTTCTCTCAATCTTCGTTTTTCTCCATTAAAGCAACATGTGTGAACTCTGAACTCTATTTCACCAAATTCCTACTCAGCTTTTCCTAATCTCCTCTTTATCAGATATTTTTTATGGTAAAAGTTATTGGGAGAATTGCGTAAAGAATTAGAAATCTGGTCAACCAAACCAAACGAACATTAAGGTAAGATATTTGCTTTTAGGTAAAAGGTCATTGAAAAAGGATGAAATTTGGTGTCAGGTGATTAAAGGTCTATCTATATCCCTTCAAATAATTGTTTATTTTGATTTCCTAGCCTATTCTTTTCTAACAAGTTCTGTGTAACAATTTATATGCTATTGATTAGTCAATGATACTAATTTCGCTTGATTATTTTCATTGATTTGGAATAATCAGGGGCAATTTTATTGACGTGATTATTATCGAACTTGTCCCTTAAGTATTTAGTCATTGAATTACATTCTTCACTTATAATCATAAAAAATGAAGCGATTTGATGATTTGCCTGTGTTATATAATTAAAATGTACTTTGGTCTCTTATAGAACTGTACTGCCGATCGAATAAATTGTTGTTTGGTTGCCGAACAATCGAAATCTCAAAATTCCAAAGTAGAGGTTTGGTTATTGCATTAGTTTCTAAAATTATTTTGTTTTATGGTTGTTGTTATAGTATCATTAATACTTTTACTATGATGATGATGATTGCAATAGACATTAATCATGATGTCACATGCATATATCTATATTTGTTACCTGATGGTATTTGGGCTAAGTTAATCGCATTTTTGCAAAGTTTGGAGTTTGGTTAAAAAAACATTTAAAATTTGTCATTTGTTCAAAAAGAAATTTCATTTAAAAATTGTTATTTTTTTCCTTAGAGATTTAATATTGATTTAATGTAAAATTGCTTTCATCTCTTCTAATAGATTACGTACCTCGATGACTCGCTCACACGACTGGTAATGCTAATATGTTTTACTAATTAATTCAGAGTACTTTCAAACAAGAATGTTACTTATTATTTACTATTATACGTAGATTGCTACTTATGTTACGAGAGTTTAATTTGTTCAGTAGATGCGATTGGAGATTTTAATTAATTATGATTTCTCCCATGTTAAATAAATTCTTTATTTGTCTAGAGTGGTCAGAGGAATAAAGTTAGCTATTGCATTTTATTTCATCTTATACGCTCATGTGGTTGGAGCTCTATCTTAGAATTAAGCATTCATCTTCATGTTGGGTTCCTGAGAGTAGAGAATTTTTGAAAGCTAATCGTGTTTATTTGATTATCACAATATTTTATCTCATATGGGTAACTTACAAATAATATATAGCTAAATTCAAGTAAAGATTCATCTTCGAATCTCTCAAATAGCTTACATGGGTTCATTCTTTGTCCTAAGAGTTAAATTTCCAAGCCTAAATGGTATGGCTATTGCACTTGCTTTCCTAGATGCTATTTTTTTTGTCGTAATAAACCAATAGTCATATACCTCTGCTCAGTTTTTTTGCTTGCTTTATTGTACCGCTTATTGTTAATTTGGTTCTTTGGCACAACGATTGTCAATTCTATCAAATTATGGAGTTACTGATGTGTGACGACCCAAAAGGTCATCACCGGTTTTCTCTCTTTTTCTGTATTTTCGAGGCCTTGAAAACCTCACCTTTAGTTGCTTCGATTTGCGTGCGCAATCCGGGCGCGTAGCCGGAAAAGCTTATGTGTTAAATTATGTGAAATTTGATAAATTGTGACTTTAAAATGGTTAAAGTTGACTTTGGTCAACATTTTAAGTAAACGGACCCGGGCCCGTAATTTGACGGTCCCGGAGGGTCCGTAAAAAAATATGGGACTCGGGCGTATGCCTGGAATCGAAATCCGAGGTCCCGAGCCCGAGAAATGAATTTTTAAAAGAAATTGTTTTTCTGAAATTTATTTGGAAATTTGAAATAAAAATGAATTAGAAAGCATTGGCATCGGGCCCGTATTTTGGTTTCGGCGCCCAGTACAGGTCTTATATGTGGTTTAAGCGCTTTCTGTGAAATTTGGTTGAAATCGGACGTCATTTGACGTGTTTCGGACTTAAAACACTAAGTTTGAAAGTTTATGAAGTTTGATGAAAAAGTGATGATTTTGAGGTTTGATTCCTCGTTTATGATGTTATTTTGGCTATTTAATCGCATGGTTAAGTTCGTAAGATGTTGTTGAGTTAGTGTGAGTGTTTGGTTAGGAGCTCCGAGGGCTTGGGAGTGTTTCAGAAGTGTTTCGGAGTGGTTTTGGCCTTAGAAAAGTTGTAGAAGTTTCAGTTCTGGTGTTCTGGTACCTAGTTCTATGCGATCGCATAGGTAGCATTGCGATCACATAGAGTAATCCTTCAGGTGCCCCACATTTGTTCTATGTGATCGCATAGATTTATCCGCGATCGCATAGCTTAGCCAGATCCTTCAATGCGAACGCAACCTTTAATCCGCGTTCGCATTTCATTAAATCCAAACCTGGAATGCACAACCTTTTCTTCTATGCGTTCGCAGCAGCCCTTCTGCGATTGCAATGACCAGCTTCCCCTTACCTTATGCGATCGGATTACCTTCTTCGCGATCGCATAGGCATTTTTGCCCAGCGATTTTTAAATACCCAAAACAGAACAGTGACGAGATTTAGTCCATATTTCACACGAGTTCTTTTTCTCCACAGCTTTTGAGCGAATTTTTGAGCACTTCTTCACCAAAGCTTCTTGGGTAAGTAAATTCCCACTCATTTCCTTCATCTTCCTTCATCAATTAATGAGTTTCTAAACCTAAATCATGAAATCAAAGTAGAAATTAGGGGTTTTGGGTAGAGTTAGGTTTCTGGGAATTTTGAGTGATTCAACCTCAATTTGGGGTCGGATCTTAAAATAAATTATGTATTCGGGCTCGTGGATGAATGGGTGATATGAATTAGGCCCGAACCTCGTGTTGTGACCAAGCGGGCCCGGGGTCGATTTTTGGATTTTTGGGAAGAAAACTTAGAAATCTATGTTTAGACATTAGGTTTGATTTGTTTAGCTTATATTGATACTATAAAGTTGTTATTTCATAGATTTGATTGAGTTGGAGCCGAATTCGAGAGGGAAAGCGGTCGTTGTGGATTAATTTAGCCATGGAAGTTGAGGTAAGTGTTTGGTCTAACTCTAGCTTGAGGGATTAGGAGTTGAGTCTTACTTACTACTTGCTTTGTGTTGTGTCNCATATATATATATATATATATATATATGCACATATTTATCTGGAGTCTGGGTCTAGCCTCGTCACTACGTCGTCGGGGTTAGGCCAGGCACTTACCAGCACATGGGGTCGGTTGTGCTGATGCTGCACTCTGTGCTCTTTTGCACAGATCACGGAGTTGGAGCAGCCTTTGGACAGCAGCAGTAGATCGGGAGCAGGCCTTCAGTCCAGAGACACCGAGGTAGCCTTGCTGACGTCCGCATGCACAAAGTCTCTCTCTCTTTGTTTAGTTTGTTATCTTTTGTACCGAAACAAACAGTTTAAAATTTTCTTTCAGTGTATTTAGTAATCTTAGAAGTTCGTGAGAATTGTGACACCAATCTTGGGTAGAGGATTTTGTTAAACTTTCCGCAATTCTATTCAGTTATTATATAAGTTGAGACCTCCGCATGAAATTTTAATTATGTTTCCTTTATTACATGTTGATAATTTCGGAAAAGAAATGCGCGTTAAATGGAAAGTAATTTAAGTTGGCTTGTCTAGCTCCTATTAATAGACGTCATCACGACTCCCGAGGGTGGGAAATCCGGATCGTGACATGATGTTACAACCTATACATCAATGTTTTTAATTGTTGTAAATGCAATTAATTGTTATTGAAACATGTCTTGTATAATTTAAGGGAAACAACAAACCTTGCACATGTAATGAAGAAACTTTATTTATGATCAAATCTTTACACGTGTTACAACATGTTCTGACTGAGAGGTGCAACTTAATTGGCTGCCAATATGTTAAAACCACTTGAATCTACATTTCAGGTTTATGTAAATGACCAATCTCTCAACTGGGATCCAAACAATCGTGTAAAAGTTAGAATCATATCTAGCGGAACCTATCACGGCATGTTCTTTCATGCACAACGTCAGAATTTTCTTTAAATTGTCCAGTTTCTTACCTTCTCTTGTATAAGTAAATTAAAAGAATTGCAAAACATATCCTTTACTTTGACAAATATCTATTTCTGAGTTTTACAACTTGTTTAACCAAAAAAACAGAATTTTAGTCAAAGCTAGAATTTAAAAGAACGCGAGTTACTGATAATCAAAAGAATATATAAAAGAGAGTAATTTGGGGTAACCAGAGTATAATCAGGAAAAAAACAAGTGAATCAAAGTATATTCCAATAGTATCTCGTGTTTACAAGTGATCAGATACCTCCCTTTTATAGGTATCTTGAAGATATGCATTTTTCCCAAATCATAATGAGGCTATTATGAATAATTAAAGACATTGAATGCTACGTTACACAATCATTATGATCAATACAAATTCTCTAACGTATCCAGTATTTAATGCCTGTCAAATTCCGTATCTGCGCTCTTTATTACGGTCAGATCCATTCCTTTTGATAAATGACTTAAATAGGTATCGGCGCTGAATTCTTCGAATGTCCTCCCGTGTCTCTTCCTTTGCCTTTACTCGTTTCTATTGCTGTCTGCGCCTCTTGACTAATTATAATTCTTTGACTATTTGACCAGTCCACGTGTCTCAACATGTTACTTACATATATAAATATAATTTTTTCCAATACAAATAGTCTCCCCCACTTTTCATTTATTCATCAATTGAATATTTGGGAAGTGAATTTCATTAAAATGAGAATTTTTGTCACCATTAATGCTATGACAAAATTGACGCTTCAATTGTCACTTTCATTTAATATTCCGTACACGTATCGATTTTCCATTGGCTCTACAGTTATTGCAGCCTTTTTCAAGGTTTTTACGGTTCCACTATTAATGAAGTGCCAGTTATCATAATTGTGGTCATTCCACCTCCGCACTTTTACCTTTGGCGGTTGCTTATCGATATAAATATAACTTTTTCCCTTGTCTTTTATCACATAAAGCTTATTGAACACTTATTTCTCCAAATCTCTGTTTACTTCTTCCTTAAATCATTCTTCTTTGATATGTCTTCTCCAAGCCCTAACCCTGAGAGAGTTTCCATTACTGACTCCTTCCCCAATGCCCCTGTTAGGCACAGAAGGGGAGGTAGACTTCGTAGTTTAGGATCTACTCGAGGTGGTTCGTCTATGCCTTCTTCTAGTTCTGGTCCTTCTTCTAGACCAGAGGTTCCCTTTCTCACAAATTTTCTTCTAGGGGTAAAGATCATTCTGAACTTTTACGCGAACCTTTAGTAGATGAGATAGTCCCTTCAGAATTGTCTTTTTACCATGACAGAGAATCTCTTAGAAACCAGGTTTCCGCATTAGATCGTGTCGATGCTTACCCCACTCAAATTACAGAGGTTTTGACTTCTATGGTCCGTAAGGACTGTCATTGGAGTAATGATTTTTCCATTATTATCCCTAATCCGAATCAAAGAATTACTTCTTATTTAACTGGGTTCTCTTTTGTTTACACTTACCCTTTTACTTTAGGGTTTAGACCAGCAATCGACCCAGTCATTCTTGAATTTTGTCGTTTCTTCAATGTCTGCTTGGGTCAAATTGGCCCAATCATATGGAGGGTTGTTGCCTGTTTAAGGCATTTAGCTGCTAAAGCCGAAGTTCCTTTTACTTTCCCTCACTTGATTCATCTTTACTCGCCTAGGCTTTTTCGCAATGGTGTTTTTACACTAGTAGCCAGGAGTAAGATGGTTTTGGTGAGCCCTAAAGATGACAAGAATCGTGGCTGGTATGCCTGATTTGTTGCTGCCCCCACTGTTGGTTTAGTGGGTGAAGATAATGTTCCCTTTTCTGAGAAGTGAAATTTTGCACATAGGTCTTTTATCCCTCTCGTACATTCTTCTTTCAAGTTTATCAGCTTTTCTAATTTTACCCCTCCCCCCTTTTTTAGCAACCATGGGAGTTGTGGGGGATGTTCCCAATTTCCGTAGTTGGGTAGATAAATTGCTGAAGATCGTACCAACGGATGGTAGATCTTGGAAAACACTTTCTAACCGCTTTGGTTGGAAGGTAAAGACTCATGGTAAGAGTTCACATTTTGTTCTTTTCGTGCCTACATTCTCCTTTATTGTTTTAACTTTTATCCTTCTTTTTGTCAGGATTTGCTATTCGAGGGGTTACTGCTGAAGCAGTTGCAGCCTCTCGTGTCTCTTTGGGAACCCGTACTCCTTCGGGAACCTGTATCTCTTTAGAAAGAGCCTGAGAAATAGTTTTGGGTTCCTCTTCTGCGAAAAGGAAGGCTACTGAAGAGGAAAATTCTGAAGAAGAGGAAGATGAGAGTTCCCTGGTAACGAGGCCACGAGTTAGGAGATGCATCGTTTCCGATGACGAAGCTGAAGTTTCGGTTTCTCTTACCGAACCTGTTGAAACCCCAATAATAATTCCTGATGAATGTCACTCCCCACGATACTCGTGAGTCTATTGACCAACTTTTCATCAGTGGATTTAGTCGTGAAAATGTCAGGCTTGTTTTAGACGAAGTACCTTTATCATCTTTTTCATCACCCGTGCTTGTGATTCCTTCTTTACCGGCCCCAGCTATTTCCGTTCCTTCTTCTACTGCTCTTACCTCTTCTCCGGCTCCTCCTTTGACTATTCACCCTCGTTCATCATACTGAAATGGGCTCTTCAAGTAGAAGTGCCGCTATGAGGCGGGTAATTATTGAAGTTCCTGCTGAGAGCAGCCTTTTGAGAAAGTCAGGTCAGGCAGATGTATGGCTGGAGACTCTTATTGGCCCAATTGAAAAAGCAAAGATGGAGAGCCATAGTTCCCTGACTTTAATGAATGATATCGTGCATGCCACTTTGAAGGTATTTTTCTTCTCTCCCTTTTTTAATTTGCAAAATTTTTCATCTTTGGGATTCTTATTTCTTTTTTTTTAGGCCAATCTTATCGGCACAGAATTGATGAAAAGAATTGCCCCTTTGGAGAAGATAGCACGCGACTCTCAATTGGAAGCAATCAATTGGAAGGAGCAATTTGAGAGTGCACAGCTTGATATAGAGGACTTACAAGAGAGCAAGAATACCTTAGAGCAGCGAGTACGGGCTTTAACTTCAGAATTGGCGGTTACCAAAGCCTCTTCAAACCAATCAGAAAAAGAAAAAGAGCGTCTCGAGTCCTCCTTCTCAGAGCAGCTATCTAAAGCTAGTGAAGAGATCAGAGAATTAAAGGCTCTTTTAAACCAAAAAGAAGTTTACGCTGGGGAGCTTGTGCAAAATTTGACAGAGGACCTCAGAATCTCTGCTGATAAGGTGCGTGCTTTAGAATGCTCCCTCGCCTCTCTTCAAGCTTCCCACAGCTCCGCCTTGGCTGAAAATGAAGAGCTAAAAAATGAGATCGCTGCTTGGGAAAAGGATTATGAGATCCTTGAAGAAAAATCTGTTGTTGAGGCAAGTTGGGCAGTTTTGAATTCCCGTCGTGATGCCCTACTTGAAGCTGGCCAAGAAAACTTCAACCTGGAGTTGGAGTTAGCTAAAATCAACAATACCATTGAAAAGGCTAAACAAACTCAGTACTTCCCTTCTCCCGTGGATGAAGTTCCCATGAATGTTGAAGCTAATACGGGTATCCCGACTATTTCAAGCCCGATCGAGCCTGTTGCTGCAAGCCAAGTTGAAACCGCACTTGCTGATGCACCTGCCCAAATTGAGCCCGCTGCTATTGATGTTCATGTCTCAGTACCACAAACTTCTCAGTGACCGGTTTTAATCATTCAAATGATTTTGTTTTTGTTTTGATTTTGGAAAATTGTAATCAAACCCTTAGGTTCATTTGAGGGTTGATTTTGGAAACGTCAGTCCCTGAGTCTTTTTATGGGGCAATCTATATAAACAATTTCGTAGTTTTATGACTAAGTTCGAACTTAGTCTTAGATTTTTTTTACATATTAAGAAGTTTTTCATGTTATTATCTTAAACTTTTGTTTGCTTTATTCTCGCCTTTATTTTTAAGGACTTACAGAATAATTTGCATTTTTGTTTTCCGAAAATGCTTCTGTTAACCTCATGATTAATTTAAACATGAGTTTTATAAAAGAGAGCCCTTTTATATTCCGACACTTAATGAAGAAGACGTCTCAACTTCATAATGGTGTTGTTATACGATAAAAGAAATAGGAACACACATGTTTCTTTGAAATAAATTTGACAAGTTTTTATTTTTGAACCTTGTCTAGTTCCGAATAAAACTTTACATGTATTTGAATTAAATCTATAATTTTCTCGTAACTGTTTTTCTTGTAACAGATTTAAAAGAAGAATAATAGACACGGGGTTTTTCCTTATAACCCGTTTTAGTACATAGCCTTTACCCTAACTATAGTGAGGTTTTTCTTTGGCCTTAGCTCGTGGCTTTATGACTTTTACTCTGCACTTGACTCTTTCAGGCTTGATTTTTCCTTAATC